TGGCAAGTGCATTTCACCCAGAAACTGGACACGTGGATTGATCAATAGTCTGCCAATGATTGCACAATGTTCAGCACCATTCGTGACTCTTCAGATACTGAAGCAGTCCGTGTTCACATGCAGTAAGACCTGGACAATATCCAGGCTTAGGCTGACAAGTGGCAAGTGACATTTGCGCCACACAAATGCCAGGCTATGACCATCACAAAAAAGAGACAATCTAACCACCACCCCTTGACATTCAATGGTGTTACCATTACTGAATCCCCCACTATCAACATTCTAGGGGTTATCATTTACCAGAAACTTAACTGGACTAGCCATGTTGCAGATGTTGGAAAACTAATAAAATCTAGTTAAAATCTTAAACCAACCACCATCCCTTAACAATCAACAACACTGCCATCACTGAATCCCCCACTACCAACATCCTGGGGGTTACAACTGACCAGAAACTCAACTGTCTTGCCACATAAACACAGTGTCTACAAGAGCAGGTCAGAAGCTAGGAATACTGCGACGAGTAACTCCCCTCCTGACTCCTCAAAGCCTGTCCCACCATCTACAAGGCACAAGTCTGAAGTGCGACTGGTAGATCCCCGGTGTCTTGGATGGTGTCAAGCTTCTCAACTCTCGAGGGGGCTGCACCCATCCAAGACAAAGCAGCTCCTGCTTGATTGGCATCACATCCACAAACATCCACTCCCTCCACCACCGACGCTCAGTAGCAGCAGTGTGTACCATCTACAAGATGCACTGCAGAAATTCACCGATGCTCCATTCACTGTAGCTCCACATTTATTCAAATAACTCAGCTTTGAGTAATGGCTTATGCAGCCCACTGAAACATTTATTTGACACTTAGTCCACTAGTGTTGCTACTTAACCAACAGACAAAAGAAATTGGCAAGCTGTGCTGCGCTTTGCAATGCTATGTCTTTAAGTCCAGAGTATAACTAAACTGGAGTTTACAGTGACTTTCATGTCCCTCTAACTTTTATCTTTTTCTCTTTTTTAAAAATTGACATTCCCCTTTTATCTTTAAAGCTTTTTAATCTCCCTGGGGGTGAGTTATGGTACAGTCTGGACAAGTGACTGTGTGTGTTTTTTAGGTGAGTGAGGCACTCTTTGACCAAGGTTAACCGTGGAGTTCAATGTAGGGCTCCTTAGAAAATCTGTCAATTGGCAAAATGGCAGAAAAGATCAGGATGAGGTGTTCGCAACAAAGATTTTGATGCATCATATTGCCAGGACTGGCTATAGGGAGAGGCTGAATAGGCTGGGGCTATTTTCCCTGGAACGTTGGAGGCTGAGGGGTGACTTTATGGAGATTTATAAAATCATGAGGGGCCTATGGATGGGGTAAATAGACAAGGTCTTTTCCCAGGGTGGGCGGAGTCCATAACTAGAGGGGGATAAATTTAAGGTGAAAGGGGAAAGATTTAAAAGGGACCTAAGGGGCAACTTTTTCACACAGAGGGTGGTGCGTGTATGGAATGAGCTGCCAAAGGAAGTGGTGGAGGCTGGTACAATGACCACACTTAAAAGGTATCTGGATGGGCACATGAATGGGAAGGGTTTAGAGGGATATGGGCCAGGAGCAGGCAGGTGGGACTAGTTTAGTTTGGGATTATGATCAGCATGGACTGGTTCTGGTTCTGTGCTGTACAGCTCTATGACTCTTGATGGTGTATTAGAGTTCATACAGCAAGCCTGTTGGTAACACAAACCTTTACCTGTGTTGTAGCCTGGAGCTATGGAGAGTAGTGGAGGTGATGCCAACGTGCCAGCCATCGAGGTGTGTATGTGTTGGAATGATTCACAAATTGATCCTCAACGTCTTTGACCACGTTTCTGAACACACCTTCCTGGGCTGTCAATTCCTGGAGTGGGACTCAAACCTGAAGCTCCTAGCTCAGAGGCAGGGTCACTACCCACTGCACACAAGACCTTACAGAAATAAATTTCTTACAAACCAAAGTTTTCTCCTTTTCATCCCTTCCTTCTTCAAACCTTGTGACTGTTATTGGGATACAATCCCATTGCTACCCATAAGCCTTTGCTCCCACTTTGCATTTCCACCTTTAATGTATTTTCCTCAATGAGTAACTAATGTTCCTAAGTATTGCTGCATTTCAAACAACTGCAGTGTCAGGCGATACACAGTGATAGTCAGCCTCATAATGATGTTTTGTCTCCATTTTTAATTGTTAAGCTTCAAATGTAAAGATCCAAGGACTGCGCCAGCACAGCCAGCTGCTCAAAACCAGAATTGCAAATGGGCTACTTTCAAGGCAATTCTGGAAGCAGCTGAGCAGATTTTGTATCCAGGGTCACATGATTGGCTGAAAACCTATGTCGTCATGACTCAGCAGTGCCAGTCAGATGAGCATCACTGGTTTGGAGGCCTACCAAGCAGAGCGGGCACCAGATGGTGGCATGGTCAGTCTGGATCAGGGCCAAGGAGAACTTTGCAATGTCCTTTTCTGCCTCACACAATGCAGCCCCCTGTAGAACTGACTGTAATAAAAGGCAGAGGTGAGCAAAAATGGTTTTTGACTGGTTATTGGCTGAGGGATTGAACAGCTGTATAGACTGAGGGGCTACGACCTCTGATGGGACTTCTACCTGGAGATCTCATGGCATGAGCACCTCCAAGCGCGCCCACCCCCCAGTATCCTCATTCTCCCTCTTACTGTCCAATGCACCAATCCTGAAGGTGCCCCACGTGCCTGGGCTAGTTGAAAAGTGGGCTTTGGAGTTAGGGGTACCAGTTAATTCTGTGCAGTTAGGGTTAGGGCTAGTCAGTCCACCATACTTTTCATTCTGTCTCCAAAAGTTTTATTGCAAATAATTTTCAAACGAAGAAAATGGTTTTAATGTCCATTTCCTCCAGTGTCAGGACATTAATATTC